TCTTGGAGATGAGAGGTGGTTGTGCTTTAAAGACACTCAGCTGTCAATATTCAGTGTTAAGTACCTTATTAAGACACAAATTGAGAAATACAGAACATTTGCAACATGAAAGGAAATCAGACTGAGTACATCTGAAAATTGGTGGTACTGGCTCTGCCTGTGCAGAGTGGCTCTGCTCATTCTTCACAGGTACAACTGTAAAACAGAACTGCTATTCCTGGACCCAAGGTGATGTGTCATGATTCATCATCATCATACAGCTAGCCAATCTGAATTTAAAATTTTACTTTAAGTTTTCACATGTGCTTCACACAAGTGTACCTACTGGCTGTGGTGGAGCAATAGAGAGAGGCTCAGCTGGATGTGACATATGTAGTATATCCTACCCGCAGAATCTATCCCAGGTACTGCTTTTGGGAATAGAACACTTTGTCTGAAACTGTGACATGAAAGGTTGACTCATAGCTTCACAGTGGTGGTACAGACTCCATAGCTTTCCTGCATTCACTATAGTCACATATACAGTAAGCTGAATGTTGTTTTATTTTGCTTTCTTTGGAGGTGGAAGGTGCTACACGAATGAGCTGTAAATAAAACCTTACAGGTTATTGTCTGCAGGAGCATACCTTGTAAAGAAAGACGTGTGAAATTAAGCACTAGAAAATACATTAATAAGCATTAAAGAATAAGCTTATTAAAAGAGTTTGGGTATTTGTATATGATTTCTTCTTCCTCTGTTCATGAGCATGTCTTATGAGCAAGAAGGAGAAGCTTGCCATGTTGTGGTAAGCAAGAAAGCAGATCAGGTGTCCAGAAAAAGGCTGGTAGATGTTTGAACCTGCCCTAGATCATGGCTTCATTCCAGCTGAGTTCTTCTAACAGGTGGCTTGCTGAGTGGTGTGCCAAGGTGACTTTTGTCCAGGGAACTGCCTGGATGACAAGCTGCTTCAGACTGAGGAAGAGGGTCTTTGCTTTGATGAAGAAATTGCCAAAACTCATGTCTCATTAGTGTTTCCTAAGGTTCTTTGGAAGTGAACAACAGTGTAATTAAAGGCTGACGTAAACACGTTTCTGCACGCTTTCCCCGAAGCATTTTATCACATTAGAATTGATCAAAATTGTTGCCTTGGGCTGTCTCGAACAGCCATACATCTGGAGCACCATTTGTGCAAGCTGCTGATGAGTAGGCTACATACGCTATGCTTCACAGCAGCTCTTCTGCCTTCCTGTGTAGACAGGTTTACCTTGGGAGATGAGATGATCTAACTTTTTATTTGCATAAGCCCTTTTTTTCTTTTATGTGATGCTTTAAAATGTGCAACATGCCACCTGTTTGGGTGTATATGTCCTCTGTCTCCATGACAGTATGAGAATACAGGCAACAGTGATTTGGAACAGCACTGAGAACTAAACAAAATAAAAAGCCTGGGTTTTGTATTTGAAGAAAATTATTGGCAGCACAGGACATGGTATCTGAATAGTGTTGACCTTTTGATAACTTTATCCAAGTGCTTTTGGCATCTTTCTGTTTTTCATCTGTACTTAACATTTTTTTCCAAAAGTATAAAAGTAACCCACACTTGAAACAGTTTTATTTTCATTCTTAAATTAATGAATATTAGAATCTCATTCATGAAACTTTGACACAAATATAAAAGCAAGTGGCCTATTTTTCTGTCCCCTGTTTTTCATTCATTATGTAATTATCAGTATATAACTAAGGTCTGTGCAGCTACTAGACTATATGTCATGATGTGGAAAAAATAAGATGTTTTAAAATGAGAAAAATATGTGTTTTCTATTATGTAGAAGCTACTAGTAAAATCATGTGAAGTCTCACTGTCACTTTAACTCATTCTGCTTTGTTTAATGAGCAAAATTAATGAGCTTTTACTTAGGACTAAAATTAAAGACAGTGAAAAACTGGTTTATTCTCCCCTTTCACAACCCCCCGCTCCGCCCCTCCCTTTTTTGTTTTTGTAACTGGTAACTCTCCAAAGAAATGTAACTTGTGTGTTTTTTCTGTTAAAGCTCTGAGCCTCCTCTCTTGGTCGAGGAGGAGACGGAGGCTCCTCCTATACAAACAGTTATTGTTCCGTCTACCCTGTGGGCTGCATCTGTTATTTGGCAGTGGCAGGAGCATGAATGCTCCGTTCTGATGGCCAGGGACACACGGGGAGAGCTGCGGGTGCTGGGGGGATGGGGGGCGAAGGGGCTATCTGAGTTACTTTGCAGTACCAAGTGCATTGTTTTAACAAAGTGGCTGATCAGCTGTTACTCTTACAGTTGCCTGTGCTATATATAAAGAGACTTCTGGTGATGTGCTGCGCAGTCTACGTTAATGTTGCTGTTTTAGTGGGTAATGAGTATTTTTATGACAGTGCTGAATTTTCTGTTCCTGACTACCAGTGGCATTTATCTCGATAAGGAAATGGTGTTTTGTATGAGAGGTTCATTGTGTTTGCTTTGTACTTTATGCTGTCTGTTTTCTATGTGCTTAGTACAATTCTTACTTCTGTAAAGTAGGAGCAGGAATAAATAACACAATTTAAAAGCAAGTGCTAGGGCTATCATATTCACCAGTCTCCTTTTCAGTAGGTTCTTTTGAAATTAGTGGTGCCACTGGGAGTTAGTGGACACTGATTGCATTGCACTTCATGCAGCATACTTTCGAGCAACAGAAATATTTTTGTTTTGAAAAACACAACTTTTGCTTGTTTAATGAAGTAACAGTCACCAATCAAATTAAATCTCTGTTGCATTCCATAAATAAGAGCTGCTGATGCACGCAGTACCTTCAGGAGCTGAGCAGCTTTCTTTCATGAGTTCTGTTGTTGAGTATGAATTTTATATAATGAAAAGATTTTCCACTTCTATCACATGATTTCTTTTCCTCAGAGAGACTTAAGTGCAGTACTTTTAATCTGGAATAAAATTAAACTGCTTGTGCATTCTCTCTTTTGCAATAGCCTATATGTGGTAGTCAACAAGGTATTCGGTCACTGTTCTGTGACAACCAAGTGCTGTAGTGGGAGACTGTGTCTAAAAGCTATTATGCATACTTGTATTTTTTTTTCTCATATTGTAACAATTGCAGCATTGCTGCAGAGACAGAGATTGTGCATGCACAGAACCGTGGTACAAAGACAGTAGCTAGTTAATTTTGTCCTGGGCTTTTATAAAACCCTACAGCTGTTGTGGAGGTGTGTGAATTTGCTTGCTCTGGTGGAACTAGGGCCTTGTATGAGGAAGCTAGGGCTGTCTTTTGAGCAGAAAATAAAACATAATGAAACATTAGAAAATCATTCCAGAATTAATGTGCTTTCTTATCATGGTTTGCCTATGCAAAAGACCATGTAAAAAATGCAGTCTTGCAATTTAAAAAAATTTCTTAACTTAGGAGAATGTATTAAAAAAAAAACCCTGTAACCATTTGGCAATTTTGTCTTTGCTATCTGCTGATAGATTCAGCGAAACAACATATTCCTCCATTTTACTCCTCAAGAACAACTTATTCACTAAGTTTTTATAAGAATGCTATAAGTACCTTGGTCACCACGCAATGGTTTGAATAAAGAAATTGCAACAGATCAGTATAATAGAGGGTATATGGTAACCTTTGTGATATCTGTTAAAACTGAATGAGTGCTGAATTTCTCTGTTGTAAAGCAACCCTTGCCGAATGCTTTGCTGAATAGAACCCTTCCTCAGCAGCCTCCTTGAAGAGGTGAACCTTGCAGGGCATCTGGGATATCAGCACTTAGTAATCGGAACCAAACTGGAGTAAGGGAGTTGTAGAAGGATGGTGGAGGGGCACTGGTAGAGTCTCCTCTGGATCTGGTGCCAGTCCCTATGCAGGGGTTGACAGTGGGATGGAGCAGAGTGGATAAATCCTCTCTCAGTTTGATGAGTCCTGCTCTAAGTACGACTTTCAGGGTTAAAACTCACTCTTAAACTCCAGCCAATCCAGAAAGCACTGGTCCAATTTGGTCTTAGTAAGGCACTCACATTTTGCGGGTTTGTCTTTGGTTTCCAAGATAATTGTATGTGCTCCAGAATAGCCAGAATGTGTGCCAATATTAAAAGTGATAAAATCACCTTAAGGGCTAACATGCTGCATGCAGGAAAGCCAGCTTCAAGTACAGTGAAGTACTTAAAAAATTACCTTTGCTTTAAACATGAGTTAATCCCATCGATTTGAGGTGGAACCCACTTACGATACTGATGTGTGTCCTATAAAATTTTTGTAATTAACTTTTAAGTAATTTGGTGCAAAATCCAACAAATATTGTTTAATTAATTTAAACCTGTGGAAAGAATACAGTATTTTTTATGCAATATTTGTAACCCTGCATGGTGAAAATAATACTTTTGTCCCTGCAAGTACATTATCTTCATGCAGCGGGCTCTAAAGAGATGTTTTTGTTGGAAAGGAAACTAGAAGGAAGAGGTGGGAAGGCCCTACCTGAAACATGGAAAATATGAGATAGAGAATTTAAAGTATCTTTTATTCTTAGGGAGGTTACATTGCTTCACTATGATTTTGGGAAGGGTAAGTAATGGGCTGTGAAATAACAAAATAATAAATACCATAAACCAGCATGTGTATGGCACTTACCCTACACACCTGAGTGTAGGTGTTCCATTAAAAAAATGCAATAAAGATTATGTGACTGTTGAAGGTGCAGATGATTTGATGATCTTTTGGGAAGGTGAGAAGTGTCTAGGGAGGTTCTGAAGATGTTGATTTCTTCACTGTTTGGCTTGTCTGGTATGAAAGGAATGTGGTTTCTCTTTTGCAGGAGAAAGACCAGTAAGGGAATTATTATTCATTCTCACGCTTGAAAGCAGTATTTTAAAATTGCTTTATTGGTCCTGAGGGGGTTGGGTCACCAAGCAGTATTTATGCAAGAACAGTAAAAATAAATATTTTGTCTACAAAATTATATGTGCTAAGACGGGCTTCCAAGGTAAACTTCTCCATTGTTTTTCTATTGCAGATATGTCTTCTCCTACAATGAAGAAACCTGAAAAGCCTTTGTTTAGTCCTACTTCTCCCCAGGATTCTTCACCAAGACTGAGCACTTTTCCCCAGCACCACCACCCAGGAATCCCAGGAGTTGCACACAGTGGTGAGAGTTATGGAGGAGGAAGAAATACCTCCTTATTTATTTGGTCTGCTCTCCTTTCCTACAATCAGATTGTGATGCATTGCTGCAGACTTTCTTAAAGGTCTAATCCCATTTATAATGCTGATGAGAGTAGAAGCGGAAGAAGTTAGAGAATGCTTGGATGAATGCTCGTTAAACTCAGTTCAGGTAGTCTGACTGATGCAAGTCACCAGAAAGGAATTAGGATTAACCAGAGAATAAAATAAACTGTAAATCACGTGAAGAAACTGACAGAGGAAAAATCCTCCCAATCTCTCCTCCTTGAACTTACACCCATTCTTCTTATTGTTGCTATGGTTATGTTGCATTTAAATACAAGAACAGGTAGTAGGGAGGATTTTGTACACAAGAGAAGTCGCAGTCATGTTCACTATGTTACACAATTAAATAAGTACCAGTGCTTCTTTTGAATGCACTTTCTAAAGAGGCAGAGTCTTGATAAATATTTTTCAATCTATTTTCTGAACTCTGTAGTAGATCCATAGTAAAACTTCATTTAAAGTGTGAAGGAGGCACTTGAGATGTGACAGAATGCATGTTATCTTGAGGGTTTGTGAGGAATGACATGGAAATTTCAGCATTGTGGTCTGTTTAAAACAGTGAGAGTGCCCCCAGCTCTCTAGATGAGAACATGGTTAAGTCTCCCCTCAGCAGCTCATCACATCTCCTTATATACTGCATATAAAGGGATTAATTTCTTGAGCAGAGCTGAGTGACTAGAGGAGTAGAACAGATTTGAGGACTCTTTCTTCTTTTCTTTAACAAGCAGTTCTGCTGTGAGAAGTTCCTCCTTTGTGATTTCTCCGTGATTTCAAGTTATGTGTAAGGACTGTTTTCCCCTTAACATATTACTTACTGGATATTATGAAAGTGAGCCCGGTCTCATTCTGGTCTCTGTAAGGTTCCCACTATCAGCAAACACTCAAGCACATCAAAGATGGTTGGTGAAATGGAAAGGATAGATTTCTGCTCACTCGTGTTTGTTTTGCACAACTCCCACATGTCAGAGCAGTAACCAGTGTTTTATGATTAAACTGAACTTGTGGGGCTGTAATTAAAATGAACTTGTCAGAAAAGAAGCTTCCATAATTATTTTTGGCCCTATGCTTGTGTGTAGATCTTTACAATTTGCTTTAGTATAAAATTTGTAGATATATATTTGGGTGACAGTCACAACCTAATTTGTAGACTAACTATTTAGTTGCTATGAAACCTGATTTCTATCTGTGTAGCCTGTTTTATTATGTCAGTGAGCAACATTTTTGACATTTGCAAGGTTTTGATTGCCAAGTATGGCAATTTTGTAACATTCCTACTGTTTTTTTTTTTTTTCTCGGGCAAACTATGACTTGGTCCCAGCTCAAAAATAGCAAGTAATGTGAAAATTAACCTAAAAAAAAACTCCTCAAAGATATGAGAGATGATCCAGAAAAGCAGTATTGATGGACTTATGCTGATAGACTATAGAACTGTGAGCAGTTTATAAAATACCTTATTTATACAGACCTGATTTTGTACTCTCCTACTAATGAAAAGAAAAGCACTGTCTTCTCCGTTTCCATTGAACTCAGTACCTCCTTTTTAATATGGTGCCAAGTAGGTGCCTTCTAGATACGTAGTAAGGGTAGAAGATTGTTGTGCAGTGTGATAGAACACTCTCCACTTCCAGATAGAGAACTGTGCAGCAGCAGAACATTCTGCACATTCCTTTCACTTTAAGATATTGCTGGTTGTTTAGGCATGACATATGGGCTATACTACAGATAGAGAAATGTGTGCTTGTAGGGTCTGGGAAGAAAGAGAATGAAAAGAAAAGTATGTATAGGGTAGATACTTTCTTTCTTTGTCAGAGAAATTTTTATTAAATGTAGGGGTTTCCCAGGCCCTGGAGTTGAATGTTCCTTAGTATTTTTCACAAAGGTCAGCTAAGATTCATGGCATTGTTGGTGGGTAGTTATTACCCTGTCCCACATGAGGCAGGTACAGTGCAATGCAGTGAGGAATCACTGATTTTTATGTAGGTCTTGCTGACTTTGCTCTCTGTTGGAGTGCTCTGCATAAAAGTGTGGGTTTTATTTACTGAAAAAAAGTATTTATTTTGTTTATTTGGGCTGCGTATGGGAAAACTGTATAATTGAATTGTCTCCTGTGCTAGAGAATGATTGCTTTAAAGAAAAAATTAATCTGATGATGGCATAACCCATGAAACCAAAATAAGATACAGTATTTATGAATTTGAAAGAGTAGCACTTTCCATTGCCTGGGATGATGTGAGGAAAACATGTAAGTTTTTCTTTAAAGATGCCATGAAGCAGGGTTGCAATGTACTGATTTATAACTGACTCTTTATTTTTCTTGCTGTAACACAGAGGTGAAGAATTTTAGAAGAAACAAGACGCGAAGTAATTTTAATTTTATTTTATCTTCTCCAGTCATCTCAACTAGAACTCCACCTCCACCTTCACCATTGCCATTTCCAGCACAAGCTATTCTCCCTCCTGCCCCATCTAGCTACTTCTCTCATCCAACGATCAGATATCCTCCCCACCTGAACCCTCAGGATACCCTGAAGAATTATGTACCTTCTTACGACCCGTCCAGCCCACAGACTAGCCAGGTACTGTAAAACGATGCGAACCCTCCAGAAGAAATCCTGTGAGGAATGTGTGTCTTCTAGGGCATCTAGACCAGTATCTCACTGTTTCTGGTCTCAGAGCAAGCTGGGAGCTGGCATACAAGCGATCCAGCAACTTTTCCTGTACATCATGGTTGAATAAATGGTACAGGTTAGTCATATCCACTTGCTGTTCCTCTGTCAAGTGCAAGAAAAATACTTGTAATGAGCGACCTGGCAGCACTAACAGGGCAGATTTTAGTCCCACAACCCTTCTGCAGGCTGTGTGTCTCTGTGGCTGCACAGAGCCAATGGAGGTGAAGCCTCTGCTGCAGGGTGGAGCAAGAAATGTGCTGATACATACGCACTCATTCATGCACATGCACAGATGTGCAGGTATATTTATAGACCAGCAATTAAAATAACTCTGCCAAGGTAATGCTTGCCCTGTTTCGTAGGCACCTGACATTTCTTTGCACAGATGTGCCTGTAGTAAGCACATCACAGACCCACAAAATTGTTTTTTCTTCCTTTCATTCCTGTATGCAGTACCAGATGAGTTCCTGGCTGCTACACTGATTCAGACTTCTGCCTGATATGGGAAATTAACGTGGTTTTCATCAGCAAAGTAATTAATGAAGTACTGTGTGCAGAACTGCTTTCCGTGATAGCATCAGCACATAACATTAGCATGTGATCTTCACTATTTGATAAACTGTGGTTGAGACTTGGTCTGTCAATACTTGGAATATTTCCACACTGCCAATGTAATGTAATCTTTGCTGCTTAGGCTGTTATTTATTTTTGATGCTTTGTCTAAAAGGCTCTTGTGGAGCCCTGTAGTCTGTGCTTTAGCATGTTTTTTTAGAAGAGTCCTGGGAATGTAAACTCAAGAGACAACTGTCAGGTTTTCCTGTGCCTAAGAGTTAGGTGCCTTTGGAAGGACTGTCTTATCAGGGATGAAGGGGTTGCTGTGGAGGCATTTTGGTTTGGGTTTTTAAACATGTTTTTAATGGTTTTTAAACATGTGTTTCAGGGGCAACAGCAACATAACTTGAGGCTTAATCAAACTTCCTATGTGGAATAGCAGATAGAGCCCCTGTGGGCTGTTCATGTCTTTGTGGCTATTGTCCCCATGGGCTAGTGGTCTGGTCCAGCTTCATGACTTTCTATGAATTTAAAACAAACAAACAAACAAAAAAGTGGGTCTATAAAATCAAAATTTACCTTGAAGGGAGAAATCCTAACTGTGTGATTTTTGTTGCTTATAGTATTAATGCAAATTAAACGAAAAAGTGAAAATGGAGTATGTCAGCTTTCGAATACAAATTACTATCTGTGCATGGATTAAAAGTCTTTCAGTCCCATGTAGCATTTTTGCTGAGACTCAGCTGGGAATGTTGCATGCAAGACCTGATTTTAATTTCTGTAAAATTTCCATGAATAACAAGGTCTAATTAAGACATCCATTAAAAGTCCTTAATGTTAATTCAGTGCGGAAAATCTTAAGAGTTCTGTTGGATTTTTTTTTTTTTTTAACTGATGTCTTAATTAGGCACTATTAAGGGAAATATTATGCAAATTAAAATCAGGCCTTTACTGTTATGCCTTTCTTTAATTATTTGGTGCTTGTTTTACTTACATTTTGATTTCTTATATATATTAAAAGAGCAGATTAGGTGATAATCTCTCTGAATTGTTCGGTGTTCTGCTTTGGATCACTGCTGAAAAAATATAACATCTAAATGAAGTACCTGACTTTCAGACTATTGACAAATGTGCTGTCTTGTGATTTTATATCATTGAGGAATATATTAACTGAGCAGGAGAAATGCTTTCAAGTCTTTGCTCAACAAAGGTCTTACTCTTTTCCCTTATCTGTGGCTGAAAGGTTAAACTTTAGACTTAAAAGATAATTTCACTCTCTTGGTTTTTCTCCAGAGTAGTAGCAAACTGAACGCACTTCCTATTCATGTGTTGTGGCACCATAGGGAATAACAGGCCAAACTGGCCTCAGTTTACTGTTTTTGTCACCTTTCATAACTTTTCTCTTATGGTGGTGTTTTTAATTTCATTTGATGTCCAGTTTAGTTCCTAAGAAGAGATTCCAGGCATCTGCATCAGCCATTCTCCACAGTTTATTATACTTTATCACTGTTATTAGTGTAATCTCTTTCAGATTTAATTTTTTAAAGTTTATATCTGAGATACACCACACATTAGAGGAGTTTCATGCCCAGTCAAAATATCTCTAAATAAAACAGTTAAAGGATGGCTGTACAAAAAGCAAACCAGCAAGAATAATTTTTTGCTTAGGAAAAGAAGCGGCAGCCGTCTGTGAAGTTTCAGTGACAAAAGGGAATTGTTCTGATACAATGGCATGCTTTGAGCCAAACCAGTTTTTCTTTTCTAAATAAAACATGAATTTTATTCAAACAAATTTAATTATTACAAAATGCAAAACTGCATCCGTAGGAAAACCACATCAAATTTAATTATACTTTCCCACCTCAAAACATACTCATTTGGATTTCAAAAGCAGAACTATGATGATAGTTTTAATTTCAGATTTAGAAATAGAAAGGATGGATACCCTGACAGCATTTACCTAAAATGAACTGTTCCTCCCCAGCATCCTTCTATTATACACCAATTTAGATTGTTAAGACAAGCAACTGAGATGTCTTGTACTCCCCACAGCAATTTTGAGATTAATTACATTACTGCTGCACTGATTATAGTGAGACATTTCTATCCAGTGGAATACTTTAAGCAAAATTAAAGATACAGTGCTCCCATAGCTTTCCATGGTGGGAAGCAGTGAGCAATTTTCTTGACATAATGTTAAATACTCCAAATTATGTGTGATGAACAATCACGAAGTTCAAATAGGCCCTGTGGCTGCAGTGAAAAATGAATTAACAATGGGTGATCTTAAACAAAAGAGAGCCGTGGCTGTTGGTTTCATGCATATCTACTTTTTATCCCCTTTTTGATCTGGAGAATAAGTAAACAAATATACTGAACAGAAATGGACCTTGTTAGATATAGACCTGGACTTGCCTCCAACTACTAGTCTGAAAAGTTCCCAAGGTTTTGAGAACTGCTGTACTTTCCGCTAATTAAGTAATTCTGCTGAGCCCTTTTTGTTATGCTTATTTCAGCACTTTTCTTCTTAGCTAGGCATGGATGTTAACTGGGTGAGATTGTGTGTGTGAGCATGTATCTGTATTATGATGGAGGGCTAATCTCTCCAAAGTTAAAGCAATACTGGTTACTTACTGTAAGTTTCAACAAAAACTAAATCAATTAGTACGTGTCTAATCCAACCTGCGGTGTTTCTCCATCTACAGTGTATTATGGTTTTCAAACCTACCACAAATTTCGAATATCTATTTTTCTTTTCCGGCGATTCCAGATGGATGAATCTTTTAGTCTTTGAAAATAACACCTCCTCTCTGTTTGCCTACACATGTGCACACACACACAAATCTGCACAGACTTGAAATACATTAATAATTGGAGTGTATGAATCAATACACAGTATCAGAATCAGACTTCCAATGAGCCTGAACAAATCACCAAACATAACAACACTTGTGTGGCTGAAGTTAAACCCTAAATAGCCAAACTCAGTGCCCTGTTGAGTTAAATGGAATAATTTCCTGATTAAGGTGTGTTGAAACGCAAAAGAAGGGTCAGCAAGTGTGGTGAAGGAAATAGTGTTGGGGGAAACAGATAAGGTGAATCCTGATGAAGAACATCCTGGCATCAGTGAGAATATTCTTTTTTCTGACTGAACCAAGCAAACAGGACTAGACAATCTTCCAAGGCCTTGGAGTTTGAATTATGAAGGGCAGAGTTTACAGGTAACCTTAAATCAAAATTTGTGATATTTTGATGAACTATGTGGTTTTCAGTGGCATGGTAAAACTGCCTCCAGATTGGGGGAGTTAAGTATTGGACCCTTTTCCTCTTACAGAAAATGTCTTACACTTACTTGCATACTACAGTCTAACGGAATCGCTCTCCACATACTGACTAAAATTTGTGGGGCTGTTAAAACATAATGTGTTGCAATGTGGACTAGATTGCAGCTTTATCTTTTTATTGGTTTTATCTTTGAAGACAGAAATATCTGAACTGCTTGAGAAGAGCTGCTCTTGAAAGCTGGTGAGGCCACTTATTTCCCTCTCAATATTGATTGGGGTATTCACTGATTGGGGTATTCAATTTTTTGTTCGGTAAAAGATACACACACTCTTC